TTTCCTCAGGAAATTTAAAACAGCATCCAGAGAGGCGCGACGTGTTCGTCACTGACCTCCCTGCGAATTGTATTTCGCAGTGCACCAGCGTGAACAGTCGAGGACATAGTTCGGAGTATTTACAACACTCCAAGACTTCCAAGACAGCGCTTCTACAAATTATTTGCGGCACGAGAAGAAGAGTTGTACTCTGATCGTGCCGCCGAAATTATACGGCAGTCCACGCCACTTTATTCATATTCGTTTCCCTCTAGTTTCAGAAATTAATAAGGAAGAGACAGAGTGAAGTACACCGGGGACAGGAGTTTATATTCTGATCCGTCTCGCTTGTGTAAGTTGACAATCCTTAATTTTGAGTTAATAAACGGTATTTGGGTTTAAGGGAAATCGACGGTGTGCGTTTTATTTTACAAACCCGATTCTCACATCCCGGCGTTTTAGTTTAGGGCACCATCCCTAACAATATGAAAACCTAATTTATTCGGTGAATAAAGTATGCTGTATTTATTTGGCGAATAAAGAATACTGTACTTATTCTGAAAATGTTGTATCATTATTTGACCTACTAATAATTTATCGCAGAAAAACAAGAGATGATTAAAACGGTTTTATAAGAATAAAAGTCGCGCAACTACATTATTTTTGCACTATGTACAGATTTTATTTGGCGTCGCACTGTGAACGAGCAATAAAAATTTTGAAAGCTAATACNGAAGTGAAGATAACAACTAAAAATTTACATGACTATTTCTTATCAAATACTTTTTTGTATACTGAATGATACATTTTAATTACAATCTTTTACTTTTTCGCATACATATATATGTTCAGTTTTCGCCCTCGCTTCGCAGTCTGTAATTTGCAGGATTCAGGTACGGCACTTTTATAATTCCCTCACTTCTATCGTGTATAAGAAATTGCCAGGTCAGATCGTAGATCAGTCTCTTTCCGCGTCCTTTTATTTAGTTTTATCGTATTCAGAATGTGCTGTGATGAATGAATTTTTTCGCATCGAAACGGATAATGATACGCGCGATAGATGAATCACATCTTTGTGACTGGCGCTTAAAGATGAAATACATTTGTAACGATAAAGAGAACTGGAAACGGTTATTACGGTTTCATCTTTGAACAGATGAAGCTGTAACGTCGATGTTAATCCATAGATAAACGTTTTCTTCTATCTGACATTCTCATTACTGCTATTGTTTGCGCGGGATTCTTAGAATGAAAGATCTGATCATCACGTTCTCGTCCCTGTGGCTGATCTCTCATGCGGCTTCGGACGTGATCTCAGACATAACGCTCAATACCATCCCCATCTCTATTTCCGATGTGTTTGAAGGGACCGATCAAAAGAACGACAATTTCAATACAGTAAGTCTAATTACAAATCTTTCATTTTGTGCATCAAACGAACGTCCGAGAAAGAATCGACAAAATTGTCTGAATCGCGTTTATCATAGTATCATAATTCCATTCATGTATCTAATCGCGCTAATAAATTGCTCGATACCTAATTAAACTGCAAGATCTCCGGGAATGGAAATACGATTTTTTTCACTTAAAACCATATATGCCTTTTACATTATTATCAGTGTTAAAATGATATTGTTTGTGGAATTTTAATTATGATCATTACGGATCGTACGCAGAACTTCTCTATTCCATCGTGTACTCGAGCTCTTTTCTCCCTGTTAGTAAACTTACCGAGTACATTATCCTCCATGAATTATTAAGTGAAATCGTACGTATGCCCCGTTATTATTAACTAAATATTTGAGATTTATTTATCTCATTCGCGTGACTAATGCGTGGAGAAATTGCACCGGTGATGGAGCTTTTCCACGATACGATTTCGATGTTCAAGGACAAACGCTTTGGTACGTGAAATAATTCATCGTCGATCGAAGACTAACGCGTGATTCCTTCGACTGTAGTTGCAAATAATACAAAGTCAGGGTTACCCGGCCGAGGCACACACTGTGACGACGGAGGATGGTTACATCTTGACGATACACCGTATCCCCGGGAAACCAGGATCCCCAGCAGTCTTTTTACAACACGGTATACTCGGAAGCTCTGCGGATTGGCTCATTGTTAACAAAAGCCAGTCGTTAGGTACTTATTCGAATGCTTCTTTTATCTCTATAGAACTTGATACATAAGTTCTCCTTGTCACTCAGCTTTCATGCTGGCCGAC